AGTATTATAGCAATGCCCAATCGTCATCGACCCAACGCCACGCTTAACGACCCAGGAGACACGGAGGGATTCGATCTGCCCGGCGAGGAAGACGCCTTGTACGTCCTACACTTGAAAGACAACTTGTATAGGCGGGCGGCCATGCCCGATCATCGACCCAACATCACACTCAGGGACTTTAGAGAGCCCAAATGGTTGATCAACTTAACCCTCACCGCACCTTACGTCTCTATAAAAAAAAATGGCGCTGTCTCCGAAATTAGGAACAACGGCGTCTGGCTCACGTCTTTCATTACACCATTTGATGATATAAAAGTTTCCCAACCCCCAGTTTCCCAAAGACCATACGTCTCAGGCAAGATATTATATTCACCTGATGACTCAAGTTTAAGGGCCGACTTATCTGATATCCTACCTAATCCTATGACTGTGAAACCAAACTCAACGCTCATCCTAGAAGTTCTTATCGGAGAAACTGTTTTGAATTTGAATTCAGAATGGTTCCCTTTACCTGGGTTGCAAATAAATTATGAAGCTACATATGAACTTCCTTATTGGGAGATACGTTGCCGTATCATCATACACAAGGAATCGGACCTCTTAGTAGACCCCCCGATAGTTGATGTGACACAAGATCCATCTATTAACCTTTCCCATATTCATCTGTATGAGAACCTAGCCATTATTAGCCTCAAATACATTGAGGACTATTTAACTAGCGACCAATTAAAATATATCTTGTAATATATATTATACAAACAGGATGGGTCTGTACCCAGTCGTAGAGGAAGTCGCGAAGACACTGGAAACTGTAGACAGGTTTCGGTTGAAACAGTTATGTGACGTAAAACGCCAACTAGAACAAGACCGTGACACACGGGCCGCATTGTACAAGAAGTACCATAGAGCTTTCAATGCCATGGATGGGGTTGATACCACCCTTATGGTAACTACCCTTATGGTAACTACATAGAACAGGGGATACAACAAGCCCAGCAAGCCTTCGTTACGAAAACCAAAGAAATCATAGGAGATTCACGTTAAACGTTTTGCTGAGATCAACATCATGTAGGGCAGCCACAGGCCGCCGCCAGAGAGGAATCACGGCACAATGTTACCCCCCAAGCAAAATATTTAACATGTCGAGTGATCCCAATAGTATCCTGTCAACACGACATAGAGCTATCGTGATCAGGAAAGTGTTGGTTCGCGGTCATAGCGACCAGGAAGTTAACTGGGGGTTCAAACCTGGTATATACAATAGCGGAGAGAGATAAGGGCCTGACAAAAGCTTTATTTCATAAATGAAGCTTTGCAGAGGCTTTTGTTGGACTTGATCCAGTACCCCCAGTGTATATACTACTCATTGTACATATCATCTTATTGTCGTTGTTTAAAATATTGGTGTAAAATAATTAATATGCCTGAACATCGTTTACCTAAAAGAGCTTTCAATATGCTTTTACATCTTGATCATCTTGAAAAGAATAACTGGACATCTCATATTCGCACCTTACTATTTAGATATGGTTTTGGTTGTATTTGGTTATCACAGACAGTTGGCAATGCAAACATGTTTATTAAACAGTTTCGTATGCGGGCTATTGATATGTTTAAGCAGGAACAGCATTCAACTATTAATGAAAGTTCTAGATATGATTCATATCTTAATTTAAGTCGTTGCTTGAGCCAGCGTGTTATCTTGCTCACCTTCAAAACAGAAATATTCGCAATGCTTTTATACGGTTTAGATTAGGCCTTAATGATTTATTAATTAACTGTGGAAGATATGTTTCTATGGAAAAAACCCAAAGATTATGTCCATTCTGTTACATTATTGAAGACGAATTCCATTTTGTGTTTACTTGTCCTGTATATGAAAATGTAAGAAATAAGTATCTACCGCAACTGTCTTTATCTCAAATCAATGTTAATCTATTGTCTTCCTTACTTTCCTGCAAAGAACCTCCAAAACAACACAAAGTTGCTCTATTTATCTACAATGCATTTTTGTTAAGAAAAGAATTGATTAGTTAGAAAGTTGATTATATATGCCATTGTCAAGATGTATCTCTTTTGTATATGGGCCTATGGCCTTTCATACAATAAAGAATTGAACTGAATTGAATAGAATTATTATGGTATGGTCCTTATCTAGGACAGAGCTTGTCTCTGATTATGGCGTGTGACTATAAGGCAAACTTGTTTAGTTGAAAACCGTGCAATGCGGTCCTATTGGGTCCTAATATGGCTGTATGATATGGAATGGGTCCCAACTTTCTTACGTCAATGGGGAAAAATTGTTAGATTTTATACACGTTTTTGTAATATATGTCAGGATCGAATCGCTCAAAAAAGACTTTTGAGGAGTAATCGCTGGGCAACCATACGAAAACGAAATTTAAACATTGGTATTCCTAAGATATTTGCAGATCACAATGACATCTTTGAACGTTTCATCCCATATTTATAATCTCGGTTGTGAAACGGTTCGTTTTTGATGATTATAAAAGTGAATGGAACAGTGCCGTTACACGACTAAGTGAGGGAAGGTAACAATCTGGGACTTTAATGACACGTGAAACAAGAGACTTTAACCCAGAAATGTATGCTTGCTATCGGTTCAACAACAAAACGTGGATGACATCAGACATGTTTTGTGATTGGCTGAGATCTTTTGACAGAAGTGTTCGGATTAACGCGGCCTGACTGTATATGTGTTACCCGCGTTCTGACCGGAGCCCACAGAAACTCCCTGGCCAATCTTGAAAGTGGTTCTGCTCATACATACTTTGAAACATGGCGTTATACATATACTCAGCAGCAAAATCAACGTCAGTGCGAATTCAAAATTAGATAGGCACTGTAATCAAAGCATTACAGAAATGGACATAATAAGGAGATACATACCATTTTTTGTGTACAATATATTGACACATCAATGAATAACTCCACCAATCGATTGATGAATGCCATTGGCACCTGGAACCACACTCTGAGAAAGGCCTGGCGCAATAAATCGGCTGTGTTCGACCTTGGTATGACATTCAGTTTCCTCTGAATTTCCTCCCAAAGATGTTCAATTGGGTTTAAATCAGGACGAAGGGCTGGCCACTGCAAAATGTTGACACCGTTCCGCTGCAGGAAGTCCCGTGTAGCTCTGGCAGTATGGGCCCGGGCGTTATCATGCTGGAAAATGTTGTTCCGGTGACGTGCGAAATGTGGTATGACGTGGGGTCTGAGAGCTTGGTCGATGTAGCGCACCGCTGTGATGCCGCCTCCTCTCCCTGAACCAAGCTTCTGGAACACCACAGGACCCACTCTCTGGTTCAGGCCTATTCCACACCATACCATGATGCTTGCGTCTCCCCGTGAGTCTCATTCCACAACACATTGGTCTCTGAGTAACGCTGGTCACGTCGTCGCCATATTCTTGTTATGCCATCTGCTGTTGATACGCAGTACGGACTCTCATCTGTGAACAGAACAGTTCTCCATTGCCTGTATCGCCATTTTTAGTGTTGTAGGGCAAACTGTAGACGTTCACGCCGATGACGAGGGGTGGGGATAGGTCCACGGTAAGGTCTACGGCAATAGAGGTTCCTGCTGTTAAGATGCCGGCGTACTGTATCAGTACTGATTGGTCTTCCGTGTGTTCCCACTGTCTGGCGTGCTGTTTCGGATGCCTGCATGAAGGGATTCTGTACATGCTGTCACACAACATGGCGGTCTTGTCGTCTTGTGGTCACCCTTGGTCTGCCAGTACGGGGGCGATCATTTGTGGTGTTGGTGGCCCGGAAACGTTGCTGCAGCCCGTAGATGGCCCGAACGTTGACCTGGAAGTGATTGGCAACGGCTTGTACCGTGTGGCCAGCTTCAAGTCTTCCCAGCGCCTGGTTCCTCTGAGCTGTCGTGAGTCGTGGCATCCTACTGACGTTGTAATGTGAATGTTTCAACCAAGTTTGGGGGTGCATATAATAGGGCCGGTCCTTGTGAACAGCACATGCAGCATGAGTTGCATGAAAAACATGGAGAACACCGTACCATCTTCGAGATCAGGTTGCGTTTTTGAGATCCGTTCCTGTGTTCAATTCTGAGTTTGGGAAGGAATGTCTTTGCTGAGGTTAAGCCGGAGATGTTGTCAAAAATATACAATAAAAAAATTAGATGAGTTTACAGTTATCCGTTTCTGCGAAGGAAAATTCCAAACTGACGTTTCTTTTGCTGTTTGCTATATTATACTAGGCGAAGGGAGAATATATTTCAATTGCACGAATGTGGTTGACGATTGGTGTTATGTATTGTTAATTTGTCCAGTGTATCGTGTTGAACGGTGTCAACCTATAAAACCATGTCACCAGTTGACATGTCATCTTCTTATGTGATGAAACGACTTTTATTCAATCAAATTTTGTTGCATGCCCTTTATCTCCCCCAAACCTGCGATATATATTTTTTTACAAAGAAACGAAATCTGATTTATATAATTGATAGACATATTTTATGTGTTTTTAGTGTTCATTCTCAAGTTTTTACTTGTTTTTGTATATTTTTTTAAGATAAATAACACGATTCTCTCATAGCCCCTTATGGAGTGGCCCGAGTATGTACTTGTATGTATTTTATCTGTTAATAATTTGGAGCCTGTTTGGCGAGACTCTAATAAATTATCTGTCTGTAAAAATCCATAGCTTCGGACGTTTTAGAATATTTACACACCGATTTAAATATTATATACATGCACACATATAACATGATGAAACGATAACGTTTCTTGTTAAAGTTTGTTTACATATTTAAAACCACAGTCAATATTATATTAACCATGTAACTGTCAAATACCAAAATAGACCGTTGAATAGTGCGGTGAATAGGTAGTAAGTGGGCGTCTTGTCGGAAACCATTTGAGGTCGATCTGTTTCTCCATGTGCCATGTAGTGAATTTCTCCGTTGTTAGTATCGAGTTATTCTAAATGAAATACTCCTTTTGTCTTCTTCAGGTGAGGTCAAACTGTACCCCAGATATATGGCTACGTGGCTCAAACGACATTTACCAAACGTCTATCAGAGAATAATGAACACCTTTGCTTGTCCATCAGTGTTCATGTTTGCAGCCTTCTCACTGACGAAACATCTTGACTTGGACGGATTTGTTCGCATTCCGAAACATGTCCTCTTTGACATCTGTGTCTTCCGGACAACAAAACCAATTATGATACTGACTTTCGTGAGTGACACAACAAGGGAGGAGAGTGTTCTCTTTTATAACGCTCGACTTTCAAAGTTTGCTTTAAGGAGCATCAATGAAGACTTGAAGTTGGACCTGTCGGTCGTACATGGTGTTCTCGGTGAAGAAGATTGCATCAGTGATGACGCATTCACTGAGAAGATTGAACAGTTGGAAAGTAATACCACAGTGTTTGCACTCCCGATGTCTCTTCAAATGGACAGTAATTTACACAGAAAGGTGGTGAAGAGCTTCCTGACACGATTTGAAGACAGGGAAAGTTCCAAACAGCTTAAGGACATGACCAAACCGGAGAAAGGCGTTTCTGATCAAACCAAATCAGGTACACAGCAGCTCTATCGCGGGTTTAAGGCAGCAGTAGTAGTAGTAGCAGTAGTAGTAGTAGTAGTAGTAGTAGTAGTAGTAGTAGTAGTAGTAGCAGAAGTAGTAGTAGTAGTGGTAGCAGTACTAGTAGTAGTTGCAGTAGCAACAGTGGAAGTAGTAGTAGTAGTAGTAGTAGTAGTAGTAGTAGTAGTGGTAGCAGTACTAGTAGTAGTTGCAGTAGCAACAGTGGAAGTAGTAGTAGCAGTAGTAGTAGCAGTAGCAGCAGTAGTAGTAGTAGCAGCAGTAGTAGTAGAAGTAGTAACAGCAGTAGTAGTAGCAGCAGTAGTAGCAGCAACAGCAGTAGTAGTAGTAGCAGCAGCAACAGCAGCAATAGTAGTAGCAGTAGGAGGAGGAGTAGCCGTAGTAGTAGCAGAAGGAGCAGCAGTAGCTGAAGCAGCAGTAGCAGTAGTAGTAGTAGTAGTAGTAGTAGTAGTAGTAGTAGTAGTAGTTTATAGTCCTGGCATTAGTGTTACTACAAAATTCAGTGTTATCTTCCATTTGTATTCTACAGCTCCGCTGATTTCTTGTGAGGTTGTGTGTGACATGGACACTCTACATAACACACATGACCGTACATGAACACACACAAACATACACAAAGACACAGAAAGACACTAACGCACGTACATACACCGAGAAACAAACAGACACTCAGACACGTGCACTCTCAATGCTTAACTAAATAATGAGTCTATGGTTATATCAACAGAAAGCTGCCGCCACCACAACTGCATCTATCGGACTATGGTACGTACTCCATGTTCAGTTTCCCTAATCAAACTATCTGCCTCAAATCTCATTACTACAGATTATCATTAACAACGGGACTCAATTCCATATTGACAGTTTAGTTAATTTTTTTTAAAACAGACCAAATGTTTATATTACAAAACAACGAATACGTTTTCCAGTATGTACAATATAACGGCTGTTAGGTGAATGTCATTTTTCATCAAATAAATAAAGAATTTGATTTCTTCCAGTATCAGAAACTGCTGACGAAGCTTAAAAGGAGAGATCAAGGTGTGTGTGTGTCTCTTTCACATCAGACCCGTGAACATCCGGGTTAGAATTGGTCTTCAGTAACCCATGCTTGTCGTAAGAGGCGACTAACGGGATCGGGTGGTCAGGCTCGCTGGCTTGGTTGATACACGTCATTGTATCCCAGTTTCGTAGATCGATGCTTGCTCATGATGTTGATCACTGGATTGTCTGGTCCAGATTATTTACAGACCGCCGCCATATAGCTGGAATATTGCTGAGTGCGGCGTTAAACAACCAACCAAACAAACAAACAAATCTTCCTGATCAACACAGCTGAAATGTAATGAAATTCATCCATCAAATTCCATATACTGTGTTGGTTGTATTAATATGTTTTAGATGAAGTGCAACTGATGCGCACATTCTTCCAACTATTGAAATGATTGATTTTGTCTCGGGTTGAACAGATGTTATTAAACTCATAATTTGATCTCAAGGTTCACTACTCTGTTCATATTATTTAGTCCAGTATGTTTGTCTAGCAATTGTCACCATGTATAACCCTGAAATCAAATCGAATTTGTTAATGCTGACCATAATGAAAACAATTTTGCATGGCATTGGAATCATCGCAAAAGGACTACATTTTTAAACACACAAAAATCCAAAATCATTGGGTTGATAAATGAATTCATTATGTTATATCATTTGGCCTTGATTATACGAAACTTCATTCGTTTTTGTCATTCTACAATGTTTCAGCGGTTGAACGATGTCAGACTATCGCAGCCATCCAAATAAAAAAACAAGGTATTTCTCAAACTACATGAGTATGTAGCTGATACACATCATTATATTATCTGTACCATGTATTGCTTATAAATGTCTTAGGTTTCCGATATATGTACAACACTGTATGTGCACAATTCTACGTATGCAATATATACTGAAGCGCAAAAGAAACGCGACTTAGTATTTCATTGGTACCATTTTTGGTGATTTTTTTGTGTGTGAACTCTAAATGTGATTCCCGAAAATGTGTTAACCATAATTGGCAAGTTTGTACACAATCATCCGTTTTGATTGTTAATTAGAGTGGTTTAAGAAACCTCTATCGGTGTGCGTTTCTTTTGCGGTTCAGTATAGTAGCGTTATATCGTCATTTTTCGTTTATAAGCTTACATATCAGAGAATAAAGGAGACGTATGGGCAATACCTCTTGCAATGATTATTGTAGTCCATTTTCGGAACTGTGTCCTGATGAGAGTGCTTTTACTTAATTCTCGATACAACACAGGAACATGTGTCAGGGTCTGTAGACGATAATGTATTCAAAAAAAAAATATTGCTCTACTTCTTTAGGTGCCACCTTGAAGATTCATCCTTCAATGAAGCCATCAGTGCCATCAAGTTCTGGTTTTGGTAAGGACAACATATGTTTAGTTTTATAGATGTTCACCGCTACCATGAAGTGGCATCGGAATGCATCAAATCGTTCGCTTTTGGCATAATTAAAGGGAACATTACCAGGCTATAGTAGTGCTTTTGTTGCTCATAAATATTGTTTCTTGACTGGAAAATATGCTGATTTTCAAAGATAAGATGTGTGCGATACAAATCAGAAGATGCGTAATAATCCAGGAAAAGTTCCATTTTATTAAACTTTCTAAATGTAATGCAAATCACAAATATTTTATAATCAACTGAGAGGTATAGTTTCTTTGTCAGTTTACCAAACAGGGTATTACCCAACAACAGGGATATATTACAAAGCAAAATGTTTTACACGACACTTATTTTCAATCTGTATAACCTTAAAACCTTTATGTTGCTAATTATTTATGATTAAAGGTACTTACATAAATGAAACAGACATCGAATCCGAGGAACTGGATGTTTTGAGGGATGATGATTCTTTTATTTTGGAGGACGAGGTACGTGTTAATACCCATATCTGTATAGCCATGGAAGGTGTTCATTCACTATTGTCGTTCAAAATGCAGTACTGCAGTACTGTCTAAAGTAAATAAAAACACAAGACAAAAATAAATGTTAGAAATTAATGTAATTAAAAATATATATGTTTGGGAAAGTGAGAAAGTGTTTCATTTCACGATCCCAAGTAGGCTCACGTATTGCCTTTGGTTGTGGATGGCATATGCACATTCATGTTTGAATTACTTGATACTTCTACCTCCAAATTCCATTTGAAAGAGTAACTGTGAAGTTTGAAAACTTAGTTGTATCAAATATAAAAGAACTGAGCCTAACGTTTGTGCCAAAATATTTCAGATCAAGAAATTAAGACGTGAAGTAAGGCAGTTAGCAGCAGGTAAGTCATTTCAAAGGGACTTTTACATACATGTATTTTACCAATTAGGCAAAAGTTAATTGGTACTCATTTCTAATTAGGCAACATTTCTCTTTTAGTGCTTTCAGTACACTGTTATCACTCTACAGGCGTCGGAAGGAAGTCATTATGTGTGATCAATGGCCAGTTTCCTTTCCTAGGGGTAACTCTTTAACTATGATGTATTCATGATTATGGAAAAGTTCTATTTCGCTTTCCTTTTATATATTTCCACTTAAATATATTCTGTTTACTTCCAGAACTAAAGGTCTTGGGTTGGAGAACTGTTCCAACTACACTTGCAGCTGGTTCAGATACAGGTAGCTTTTGTAGTCTATTTTATTAAAGAACATTTTGGTCATAGATACTTTTGAAAAAAATATAGTAAACATGCTCAATTTCTTGACTCCCGCTTATCGACAAGCTCTAACTATCTTTAAAACAAATTCCGTTTGGTATAAAGGCAAAAATACCTGTGAAAATTTAATCACTAAAATCAGTGACGACACCAGTGTTGTATTCCTTCGATCCAGCTTATAGGTCATGTTAAAGTCATTTTTAAAAAAAATATATGTTCAATTTTCATGCGATAACGTTGGCGTTATATTGTTTTACAGAAGCTTCACCTGACCACCACCATGTCAAACACATACAGTTTCAGAAGGATTTACACTAAAAAATACTTTTTCTTTGTTTTCTTTTAATTTTATATTTACTTCTTTTGAATAGGTATACATGCATGTTGACATGTAAAAGTTAACGTACATTGTAAGGTTATAATACTTCAGTATTTTGTACAGACAGTCACATGTACAAAGATAATTTACTTACTCAACGGTTCTGAATAGCCACCAACTGGACCACACTCACACTTGATAGTTGTTTCGCCATGTTTCAAAAGGTACATTTAGGATCCACACAGTTGAACAGAAGTGCCTCATCTTGCTGTGGCAGATTTGAACGACACGAAATCTGAGAAGAAGCGAAAACAAGATATTGTTGAATCCAGAAACGGCACATTGCCAGAAATATATCTATGACAGTCTTGTTAAGAATAAAGAAGACTTCACCGTGGTAAACAAAGCTGGAAAACAATACATGTTGGTATTTGGGAAACTGTACAATATATGTTAGATACAGAACCTCAAATTGTTAGTAGTAAAAGATACAAGAGGACAATACGGAAGGACAGCGGTCATGATGGCAGCTCACATGGGTCACATTTCTGTGTTCTATTCCCTAGTGGACAAAGGCTGTAACCTGTCCTTGAAAGATGCTGATGGCGATAATGTTCTTCATCTGGCCTGTATAAGTGGAAATATTGACATTGTCAGGTATCTCCTTTCCAGAGATGACATTGACAAAGACAGAAGAGGGAAATATGGCGACACTGCTGTGTATGGACGTAAAAAAATATTTGACCTGTTCGTTTCCAGAGGATGCATGTTATCACTTCAGTCAGAAAACTTTGATAACATTTTACATGTAGCTTGTATTGGTGGCAATGCTTCAATCGTCAAGAAACTTCTAGAAAAGGAAGAAGCACTCATCAACAGCAGAGGCCAACATGGGAAAACCCCAGTGATGGTAGCAGCACAGCGAGGTGACGCAGAACTGTTCAATGTCCTTGTTGAATATGACTGTGATTTGTCAATTCGCGACGATGACAATAACTGTGTCCTCCATGTGGCGTGTATCGGTGGCAGTGCCACTTTAGTCAGCAGATCATCTCGAGAAAATACTTTGGCGTTGGTGTGAGGGGATATTTGGGAAGGACAGGTGCTATGGTGGCAGTATCACAAGGTCACAGAGAGGTATTTGATGTTCTATTTGAGGAAGGATGCAATTTGTCTCTGGAAGATGAAAATGGTTTAACTGTTGTCCATTATGTTTGTATTGATCAAAAGGTAGATTTTGTGGACTTTTTTCTTTCACGAGACTTTGCGAAAAACACCTATGACCAAAGAAGCTCAACTGGCGAGACTCCTTTGGCGACAGCAGCTCGTTTTGGTAACTGGAAGGTTTGTGAGAATCTGATACAGAGAGGGTGTGATATCAATGCTACAGATTGCTATGGTAACAGCGTCTTCATGTTGGCTTACATTGGAGGATGTACAGAACTAGTAGAGGCACTCCTTCTGGATGTCAGGCTCAACAGATCTACCATATTGTTGCATGCATCAAGTGAAGGCCACAAAGATGTCGTTGACTTACTTCTTAAACGGGAAAGCTATCTTCAAATGGATACATTTTATCATGCACTTTATAGTATTACAGGCTACGATGTTGACGTTATGGATGGAATAACTTGAGAAAGTCTATTGGGAAAACACACAGTCGAGCCCCTTTCGCACAAGACTAGGAAGACGATACCGTTTACTTATCCGAAGACATTAACCAGGAGACATCTTTTCTGACTGCTTGTAAAACTGGAGATACTAAAGTGGTTCACGATATGATTAACTCTGGAAAGGTAAAAGTGAACTGCAAAGACAATTCTGGCGCAAAAACTGTACTGATTGCAGCTAGCAATGGACACATACAATTACTGAAAACATTGATCATCAATGGCTGCAATTTCCTGGTTGTGGATCACCATGGTAACAACATACTTCATCGAGTCTGTTTATGGAACGATGTAGGTCTGGAAGAGTACGTCTTGTCTCTTGGCCAACTTGATATCAACAGCAGAGGATCGCTACGCAGGACGCCTGTGATGATCGCCGTACAACAAGGGAATTTGCATGTTGTGACGCTTCTTGTAAACAAGGGATGTGATCTGTCGATGTCTGACGCATTTGGCAATACTGCCCTACACTTAGCATGTGCGGGGGAGAATCCGCCTATTGTAGAATACTTACTTTTTGTTGGAAGGATGGACATCAACAGCAGGGGAGAGGATGGCATGACACCAGTAATGATTGCTGCACAGCATGGTTGTTGGAAGGTATTTGATATGTTGGTGGAAGAGGGAGATTCGCTCCATCTAACTGACAATTTTGGCAGCACTGTGCTTCATCTAGCTTGTGAAGTAGGTAGCTATGAAATAATTGAGTACCTTCTTGCGACTCACAAGCAGTATGCGCATTTCAGAAATGTGTGTGGATTTACACCTGCCCATACAGCATCTGTCTTCGGACATGAAGATCTTGCTGAATTTCTGTTGGAACAATAATACAGAGACTTCTTGAAATTGCTGTGTAACGCAAAGAGGGTATTTTACATGAGATCTCTTCACCAATAGTCAAAAGTCAGTCATACTGGTTGTAGAGAGGTCTTTGTGGAGGCCCAATCACAGACTTTTCACAGGCAGAGATTGTCCTTGACTCTTACTAAAGTTGTAATGATGTTATTGTAGTTTTATGTATCATGATCGCTTGGTCATTCCTTGTACATAATCACAGAGAAATGTGACCGCCATTCTTATGCTTTTCTTACGTTAATCAGTATTTTAAGAATTTATGCAATGTACTTGACATATACAATACATATCCATTGCAGGGGAGGGCGGGGTGGGACGGGTCTGTTGTTCCGTTGATAAGAATATTAACCCTTGAAAGGACATCACATTTGCTTCCTATGATGATGTCAGTACATATCTGGCACTACTATAAGATGATTTTTATAATGTTTAAGTCAAGTGAATCTGTCATCTTTATTTGATCAGTAGGATTTAAAAGTTCTCCGTCACTCCGTCTGTCGCCTGAGAACAAGTCTGAGTCGATGATCATTTAGTTGATAAATTGAACACGTAGTGTTGGATGTCAGCAATTTGTTATATGCCAGGTAGTTATTGTAACAAGCCTAATCAAACGGCATGCCTTAGAACTATTTCCAGATATTTAATATTGACATACAGTGACAACTTGCTCATTTTCCAAATACACAAATCCAGTTTAACAATATCAACAGTACGATCCTGGTCACATGATGCCTTTTTTAGATTATACTAAAATAACCATGAGTAAAGTAAGAAATTGTGTTAAAGAAAAACAAACTTAACTGATAATTAATAAAAGATATTAACGAAGCTAAAGGTAACATGTCATTGATGTTAAGGAATGATATAGTCGCAGACACATACGTTCTTCAATGGGATGCAGAATCAGAACTTTAAAACACTTTGAAGACTTCCTACCAAATCCAACGGGTAATTTATTTGATAGATGGATCAAATGTAAAGGCGAATTTCTGAAACAGATAAGAGGGTCGTGGGACCTTTAACACTTCAATATGATAACAGAGAATGGCAAATTTGAATTTCAAGACTAATCTGTATGCGTGGATGAAAATAACCTAAACCTGAATTTAGCCAAAAATTATTGTTGATTGAATTTGAGACAGAGGAAATATATGGATAAGCTTTGTACTTCATACCAATTATATAAGTGTATGTGATAATTATTTTCAACATGTATACCTGTACATTTTGATACAATATTGTTTTGTTTTTGTATAACATTCTCGTGATCCTTTTGTTACGGTTTTCGGACGCTTAAGAACATCCCTTGGATTATCCTGGTGGTTAAAGCGTTCTCTCGTCATACCGAAGACACGGGTTCGATTCCGAACATGGGTACAATGTGTGAAGCCCATTTCTGGTATATTTGTAAAATCGGCCTAAAACTCACTCACTCACCACTGATATCTTTCTAGATGTAGGTAGGTCTCTCTTTATATGTAAGTATTATTATACAATGCGTGTGGGTCTTAGTAAGTGATTGTGTGTATTACATGTATATACTACCGGCGTACACTTTTTACGATGGTTTTAATTTGTATTATTTGTGTAATGTATATCTTGTCTTCGGATAATGTATTTGTTCGTGTGTGCCAGATATATAATTCAATCATGTATTCACGTAAATCCGAAATACGTCAATATAAACACACACGCACGCATGCAACCTGAAACATGAGTGTCGTTAACCTATTCAGACAATGACCTACTTTTCAGCCGGTCCGAAGTTTCTGGTGTGAAAGTGAAAAGAGACACCACAAACAACTATGGTAACACTGAATTCCAATTCTTTGTTTCATAAGAAAATGGTATTTACAAGTTAATTTTAATTTTAAACTTTAATAACATCGTATTTCTATATTTTATGGCGAGATGTATGCAGCATGGCCTTAACTAAGACGTCACAGACTGACCCAGTTTGATGAGGTCGCAAAATTATTCATAATTCATCTGGTTCACTGATTACACCTGTTATTTGTTTTTTGTTGCGCTTATTCAGTGTAGTTTTGTAACGTACAATGTGATTTATATAATATCAAGTCCGTACCAGACCGCCAAACTTTTCTAGAGGCAGAGCCTCGTTTTGAGATTTCCACGATTTCCAGATTTCCGTTTGTCAGAGCACGCTGTACGACGTGTTTGCAAGGATTAGAGGGAGGATAGTGTTGCAATATACAAGTGCTAAGATGTATCAAATAATACTGATTAATATTTATGTATCCAGTTGAATGAATTGGTATAAAAATTCTGGACTAGTTATTGTACTAATATGCGCACTAGGACGGAACCCAGTCAGCAGGAAACGAGACTGTTGTGTAATCAATGTTTTGACTTGATGCATGCATGGATTGGTTTTACTCTGAAAAGGTAATAGGTGTCCAAGGTGCAGGTGCTTACTTGGAATGCATTCGGGGAGTTATATATATATCAATGGATCACTGAAATTCCTTCATGACTCCAGTTAATATAGGTGTAGACATACTATGGACTTCAGTGTGAACAGTAATAGCTGGTTTAAACATACAACTGATTTCATTGTAAAAGATAAGCGTTTTAGTTACTTATCTTTAGTTTGCATACTTACTATGTGTACAGCAGAGAGCATCAGTTTATATTGCTCTACAACAACAAAAGCCCGTTAAACCTGTACATCAGGGACTTGAAGATATCCAAAACAAGTACCGGGAGGAGTCTTAGCATGTTTCTGTTTTTCCTATCATATATTTCATCATAATGTGGCTTCTGTTCAAGCACGTTGAAAGTATTTGATTATTCTTGGTGTTTTCATCTTCAGGGTGTAGAGAGACACTTTGTATTCATCATTTTGTACTTTGTACTTCTTTAAATATATTCTGGTGTCCCCCGCCGTGATATTGCTGGAATATTGCTAAAAGCGGCGTAAAACTAAACTCAGTCAGTCAGTCTTTTAATATATGGTTGTTTAAATTTGCCTATACTTGTCCTTCCATTACCTTTGTTATACATGTACAGCCATGTATATACACAACAACTTCCATCTGCTATAGGGCGGTGGGGTAACCTAGTGGTTAAAGCGTCCGCTCGTCACGCCGAAGATCCTGGTTCGATTCCCCACATGGGTACAATGTATGAAGCCCATTTCTGGTGTCCCCCGCCGCGATATTGTTGGAATATTGCTAAAAGCGGCGCAAAACCATACTCACTCGCTCCATCTGATATAATGCAAATACTTACTGCATATGTTCAAACAGTCTGCGTTAATACCCACATACAATGATGAACTATCTGTACTATGGTGTACACAAGTGTGCTTCGCTAACTTTGCGAAATGTGACCAAATACCACGTCGCATATTCAACCGATGGATGCAGGAATAATTCGGACATTCAAGGCATACTACAATAGATCGCTTGTTAGACATTACCTCACCTGTGCTGAGGAAGGACGTGATCAGACACGTCGGATCAACATGCGGATGTCACTCGGTAAAATTATTCATGTGATGAATTCAATGAGGAAGGTTAAACGAACACAAACA